GGCCAGACACAGGCTGAGTCTTCACCTTCACTGCCCATCTCAGCAGGGCAGTCAGGGTAAGTCTGGTGTTTGCCTCCTCTTGCAGCAATCTGGTGAACGAGAGGGGTTTGCTGAAGGTACTTTGGCTGCCAGGGGACCTGGTACCTTCATGGTAGGTTTTCTTACAGGATCACTGACAACAGAAGCATTTCAGAGCTCACCTGTCTGGATGTGATGGCCTGAACAAGTAGCTACTCTGATAATGAGTGCACTTAACTGTGCAGTCTCATTCTAAAATAATACAAATGAGAAACAAGATGGTTTGTTTCAACTAAACATCTCTAGCAGTTGAAGTATCTCCCAAAGCAAGGGGTTGAACCATGTATCTTGGTGTCCTGACATCAGTCTAGATGTCTTACTAGCAGTCATTATGGTTGAGGCTTATTGGGCTCTAAGTTGGTTTAGCCAAGCCCCACTTACTGGAGTCAATGATGCAGGAAGGGTGCGTGTCCCTTTGCCCAAATGCTGCACATGCTGATCTCTTGCTTAGAGGGAGAAAATGCCTTTGAGACGAGGCTGTTTGAAAGTCCCCGACTGAGTTTAGCTGTTGGGTCTTGCTCTCTCCAACTTCTCAGAATAGAGCAGCCTGCAAGTCAGCAGGTGCTGGCTGCCAGCAGAGCCTGGCTCCCTTCCTCTCCCTGCCACTGACTCATTGCACGTCCTCAGGCAATCGTTTTGATTTTGGTACCAAATGCAGATCAGGCTGCTTAATTTCTCTTAAAATGTTGGCCTTCAAACTTGTGACTCACTGTGCCCATTGTGCAGCAGAGATAATAACTTCCTCCCTGTGCTGGTCTATCCAGCCCTTCACCACACCCAGGCTGCTGGTGGCAGAGCAGCCCAGGAGGCAGCAGGGAAGGGGAGAGGAGGGACAGGGCACGGGCCTGACTGCTTGTGCTGCTACAGGCTCCCATACTTCCAGATTATTTGTTTTTTCCCAGGCACAGAAGTGTGAGACAGGAGGTTCTTTAGAGGGCCCAAAGGGATGCTGCCATTTTGAGAGAAAAGCTGGCAGCAAAGCAGAGATGTCTCTCTGGTTTGCAGGTAGCTCTGAATGCTGATGTCCCCTGAGCTGGAGGCAGTAGGCACAGAATCACAGAATCATCCTGGTTAGAAGGACCTTGAAGATCATCAAGTCCAATCATAACCTAAATCTACCAACCATAAATTAATCTTCCTGTTCAATGCTTAAATCATGTTTCTCAGCGCCACATCTTTATTTCTTTGAAACACTTCCAGGGATGGCAACTCCACCACCTCCCTAGGCAGCCTGTTCCACTGTCCAACCACTCTTTGGGTGAAGAAATTCTTTATAATATCCAGTCTAAACCTCCCCTCGGCAACTTCAGGTCATTTCCTCTGGTCCTGTCATTACTCACTTGAGAGAAGAGTCCAACTCCCACCTCCCTAACAGCAGTATCACCAGGTCACAGCCCTCCCAGGATGACAGCAGGGGTTTGTGCACCTAACACAGGATGCTGGGTGCTGCAGTGTCCAGGGCATTGCCAAGGTCTGTGCTGTGTGACAGGCTGAGAAAGTTGGGGCTGTTCAGCCTGGAGAAGGCTCCAGGGACACCTTAAGTCCACAGTACCTGAAGGGGATCCAGGAAAGCTTCTTACAAGGGCATGGAGTGATGTGATGAAGAACAATTATTTCAAACTAAAAGAGGGGAGATTTAGATGAGATAATAGGGAGAAATGCTTTGCTGTGAAGGTGGTGAAACCCTGGCCCAGGCTGCCCAGGGAAGCTGTGGCTGCCCCATCCCTGGCAGTGTTGAAGGGCAGGTTGGATGGGGCTTGGAGCAGCCTGGGCTGGTGGGAGGTGTCCCTGCCCATGCAGGGGGGGTACAACTAGATGATCTTTAAGGTCCCTTCCAACCTAAACCATTCCATGACTCTATGATGCCTCTCCCTTTGTAGAAGGGCCAGACCTGTGCCCACCTCCTGATGGGTGTTGGGGGAAGGCTGCCTGACACCCACCCACAGCCAGTCCCAGGGTGCTTCACCAAGCACACGCAGCCTTTTTTCCGCTCTTACCTCCCTTTACCAGGTGCTGGAAAGACCAATGTGTTTGAAAGTAGTGGGATTCTATGTCTGAGTGCTGTGGCTTCTCTGGATGCTTTCAGGGCCAGGCAGAGAGGAATTTTCCTTGTAAAATTGATAAGATACACACAAAAGGCAGGATTCTGTGTTATAACTTTATTAGGAACCAAGGACAGTTGAATAGAGTGGGAACTCGTGCAGGGCTTGTGCAGAAAAGCCACCAAGCTGAAAATGTTGGCTGACATAACACATTGATTTTTTATCTTAGAAAGGGACTGTACATGAAGCAACAGAGAACAAGTAAAAAGAACAAAGAACAATCTCAATAGACAGACACATGCAAACAGGACACACACATACAAAAGACAAGGAAACCAAGGAGAAATGCATATATGCTGTAGATAAATGTTGTAAGGCTAAAAATATAAGTGGGTGAATTAGAAAGCCAGCTTTAAATTAAAAGTTTTGACATGAACTTTTCGGAAACCCAGTTTAAAAAAAAAAAAAAAGCAAAACAACAAACAGTGGGATCCTGTAATTCCCAAATGAAATTACAGAGAAGAGTGTGTCTCTTCTGGTGGCGTGGGAGGGACACCACACATTATGGAGAGTGTAAAGTGCAATGACAAGTAACACCAAAATCCCCAGTTGCATCTAAGGAGGAGTATGGAATTAGGGTCATAATACACTGCATCAGCACAGGCTGCAAAAGAGGAGCCTACATAGACAGGAGAATCTTCTTTAAATAATGATAAAAGAAGCAGCCAAGAAAATAAGATGCTTTTGGGTGCAGGGATCACTTAACGCCCCAGATAAAGGGCTGGTCAAGCAGCACAGAAGAGAGGGCAATTAGAAGCAAGAAGCTGTTCTTCCAAAGCCAAGGTGTGGCTAGAGAATGAAACCAGAAGAGAGTTGCAAAGCTAAGTGCAGAGCCATTGTGAGGCAGGCCAAGAGGAATTTCTGTGAACAGCTTGTGAAAAAGAGAGAGACTGTTGGTGCAAACCTTTTCAGTTTCATCAGAAGGCAGAAGGCTGCCAGAGGCTCTGCAGGCAGGTCTGCAGAGGTCTAAGAGCAGAAGAGCACACTTTGCATTAGTGAGCAGTGTGGAAGTACTCAAGGAGGTTCCCACCCTGGCACATCTCTGTGCAGGGCAGGGGGAGAGAGGCCCTCATAAATCGCATCATCAGTTTGAGCATTTCTGCAACGTATCACTGAAGTGCATGATACCAAATTGGCAGGGCTATGGATCCCTCACCCAGGTATGCAGGGGCTGAAGCACAACCTGGTAGCTCACAAATCTGGGCTGTAGCTTGTAGTCCATGCCCAGAGCCAGAAGGAAGAGCTGAGGGCAACATCAGCTTGAAATAGCTGAAGCCACAGAATGATGAGCCTGACTTTCCTGCCAAGCAAATTGTTAAAAAATTCAAATACAGGGTCTGACTTGCAGGCACATGGCTGAATGTGAAAGCCAGGGGAGGAAGCAACACAGCTTTTGTAGAGAGAGATAACGCCTCATATATCTTGTAGGGGGATGAAGTCTTAAAGAAGAAAAAGGAAGGTGCTCTCATAGGCAATTAACTTGCTAAATTAAAAAAGAGACAAAGTCAATGTGAGTCTTAATGGAGGAAAGTTAGAGAAGGAGGCTGCACCTTTCAGCAAGCTCATACATATCTTTGACAAGGAGAGAAGAAAGTTTGTAAGAGACAAAGTCCTTCAGGATTGTCAGCTTTAAAACTGGTTACAAAGAGTTACAGAAGGCTCTTGTGTTGCTGAGTTATTGGGCAATGAAGTGGTGGATGAAATCCCATGTAAGAGCAGAACCACTTCTGAGTAAAAATCAATCAATTATTAGAAGTTTCCTGGGAAAAAAAATGTGGGACAAGTAGAAAGTGCCATTATGTAGCTGCATGGTCTGTGGTGCTTTCACTGCCAGCATCCACCACTGATCACTGCTTCTCAAAAAGACAGAGCACACTTGGGAAAAGTGCAGAAAGGATCGAGTACAGTCACAGCAATGAGGTGTTTCTGAGAAAACAGAAGAAATGCAAAGAATTTCATGTGAGAAAAAGATGAGTGACGGATATGAAAGAGAGGATGGAATCAAGAGAGCAGGGGAGAAGGCAGATAAGACATACTCACTGGTGCTTATAACAAAATAAGTGGCGTCATCAAATGGGAAGCAGGAATTTTAAAACATCCACAAAGGTAACACATGGTGTGTAGTGAAAGTAGTGCTGGTTGCCCAGAAGATGTAGGTGCCAGAAGTAAAATGAGTTTGAGAGCCTAGATCAAGAGCTATCAAATGCAGAGATGCAAATGCACTCTCTGGCTCAGGAAGTCCCTAAACTAGGGTTTCCAGAAGCTGATTGTGCTCCTGTGGGGTGCAGCACCCTCCAGCTGTGTCCTTACTTAGCCCACTACACAGGGAGGCTGAATCTTGTAGAATCAGGATCACAGACTGGTTTGGGTTGCAAGGGACCTTTAAAGGCCATCTAGTCCAACCTCCATGCAGCGAGCAGGGACATCTTCAACTAGAACAGTTGCTCAGAGCCCCGTCCGGCCTGACCTGGAATGTATCCAGAGATAGGGCATCCATCACCTCTCCAGGCAACCTGGGCCAGTGTGTCACCACCCTCAGTGTAAAACATTTCTTCCCAATATCTAGTCTAAATATCCCCTCTTTCAGTTTAAAACCATCACCCCTTGTGCTGTCACTACAGGCCCTGCTAAAAAGTCCGTCCCCATCTTTCTTGTAGGCCCCCTTTGAAAGGTCACAATAAGGTCCCCCTGGAGCCTTATTTTTTCCAGGCTGAACAACTCTCAGCCTTTCTTCACAGGAGAGGTTCTCCAGCCCTTGGATCATCTTTGTGGCCTCCTCTGGTCCACAGCCCCTGAAGAAGCTCCACTTGTGCAGGCAGTGCCAGGCACTGGCACTGCAGGGAATAACGCTGCCTGCAGCCATCGCCAGGGAGCTGCAGATGATTCCAAAGGTGTTTGCATGATCTCGGAGTTTATGCTGCTTCCTTCAGCACCTCCACCAGCTTTTCTTGGTGGAGTTTGCATAAGGCACATCCCTGTTTCTCTTGCCTGGGAGTTGTTTCACTGCAGAATCAATCCTCAAACAATGCTGAATGGATCCCTTCAAGAGAAGTCTCACCTCCTGCAGCATGCTCTCAGCATCCTCTTCCTCTCCTTCATCTCAGCCTTAGCCGCTCCCTTTCATGTCATGTCTTGGATCTCTACTAGAGAAGGGGAAACGGACTAGAGGGCAGAAAAAGAAAAAAACCTAATACCCAAAGAACAAGATTTTTGTTGGATCACCAAGGTGGTTTCCTTCAGGTCATTGCCCTGTGTGGGTCTCCATGCCCAGTTCAGCAGCTGAGGCTCTACCACCTTTCCCAATTCAAGACCTCTTCTTAACCTTCCTTTCTGTTTGTATAACAGGGGACACTCAGGGATACATTTTTCAGAAAATATTTTAATAAATCTATTAGAGGTTCTGGGCATCTGACTGTTCACTGAGCAATCAAAGCTGTGTGGTCTCTTTTGCATCACTTATGAGTTGATGGACATGTTGCTGATGGCTTATTCAGTGTTCTGGTGACACAAACCACAAATGCCAGAGATGCTCAGGCCCTGTCTCCTGGTACTTTGGCCATGCCTGCACACATATGTACATGTGCCTGTGCATTCATTTTCCCACATTGATTAGCTGTGTTTTTCAAAGCAGAGTCTCATTTGTTTGTTTTCTTCCCATGTGTTTAATTTTCAGAGCTCCTTCTTCCTACTGCTAGTGATGTATAACAAACAAGATTTCACTGTGACTGGTTCAAAAAGTTGTTTGGAATTGTTTGCCTTTGATCTCAGGAATATTCAGAAAAAGGGAAACATGAAAAATAATTCATGTCTGCTGTTACTGGGCTATGCTGACCCTGTGTGAGAGCTCTGGGCAAACTGGAGAGACATCTGGGAGAGATACTGTGGTGTGTGTGTCAACCCTGTCACTGAGCAAGGGACTATCTGAAGCAGCAACTCAGGGTGCACCATTTCTAGGCAGCCCTTAGGTGTGATGGTTCAAGGTAAAGTCCTCAATAAGCCACCAGTCAGACAGGGCTTGTGAGGAGCATGGGCTGAAGTCCTTGCTGGGCATGAAGGGTTGGCATTTGTGGCCAATCACTACTCCTTGGTTTTGGCTTCTTTAGGACTCAGAAGCAATTTGTGCAGCCTCTTGAGCACCATGAAAGGGTGTGCCATCCCTTTCTTGCACACACACATCACTTGCAGTCCATGTTTGTTGTCTGGGGTTTCTGTTGTTGCTGTCCCATCCCTGGAAGGAGCTGCTATGGCATCATGTGATACCAATTCCTGCTATTTTCTGTTCTTAGTAATTTTTAAAATGCATCTACAGATTTTCCTCCCAGAGCAAACCTCAAAAAGCCTCAAAAGCAAACATGTAGTGGCGATGTAAATCCTGGGGTGCACCATACCCTTGTCTTCTGAAGTATTTTGAGAGTAGCTTGAAATCTTACCTTTCTGTTTGAGGAACTGGTGAGGTGGCCAGAAAAGTCTCTCCAAAATACCAGAAGAAATTTAGTTGCTTTCACTGCAGCATCTGCTCTGTATTGCAGGGTCAAGGCCCCAGGCAGCTGCAGAGGCTGGGAATGTTCAGCCTGTTATAGCTGACACTTTTCTTTTGCTTTGAATGTAGGATCTGAAGAGGAGGTCCAGGATGTCCATGAACACTCAGTTTGACAAAACACTGGCCTGTTTGCTTACTGGAGAGCTGGAGTGAACAAAGATGTTCAGTGCACCAACCAGAAGACCTCCCATCTTGCTCTCTGCACCAGCAACTCAAAACAACCAGCCCTGACCTGCATGGCCCACACCAAGATGCAGACTGCAGATAAACAACATCACACTTGTGGTGTCCTCACGTGTTCCCACATTGCGATGGTCACAGAAACAGAGCTGTGTTCTCCAGGTCCCCTTCTTCTCTGAAGGCACAGGCAGCCCATCTTCAGCCTGTGGCATCTGGCTGGTTGGGCTGGCTTGTACAGAGAGACTGGTCTTGGGAGTCACCAGCTGGAGAGCTCTCTGCATGAGTGCAAGCTGCTATTTTGATGTTCATGCCACAGGTTTTTGCTAAACACTTGAAAAATAAACAAGCCTTCGAGACCAAAAGCTGCAGAAATTACTTTCTGTGGCCTGGTAGCTTCTGACTTAATTTCCTCACCTAGGTCAAAAGCCAGACTTCTTCATTTAATTTTTCCACTCTTATTTCAGACACAGGAACAAGCTGTTCGCCATCTCACCACCCACAGGTCTGCCCTGCAAGGTGCTTCTTCTGATTTCATTAGAAACCAACACCTCTCACCACTTTTGATCACTTCATTGTCCTTCAGCTGATGGCATCTCTGCTGTTTGCTGCCTTTTGCCAGCAGCAGGAGAGGTGAATACACAAGGACAATGTCAGCATTTCTGGGAAGGAGCTGGGTCAGACTCTTTCCATTGCAAAGAATCCACCCTCTCATTTGGCAGTGTGAACAAGTCTCTCACTCATCCTCTAACTCCTCCATCTAGCCTCAAAATAGGTGTGATAGCCAGCCCTGTCACTAGCAAATCATCTGTTGAGCATATTTCAAACCTCAGATGCCCCCATCACAGGAGCCATGGGAAAATCCTTGAGTTCACGTGGCTCCTGCTTGTCTCTTTTCCTTCCCTCCCTGAACCTCCCAGCAAAAGCATCCATAGTAAATGCAGAGCAGAGCCCCATTTGTCAGCCAGCCTTATCTTCATATTTCTGAGACACCCAAAATGATCCTGTAAAGGATTTTTTTCAAAATACCCCTCTGCCTTTTCTAACATTTTGATGATAGAGATTTTAGAAATTGCTAGTCTCTTGGTTTATTACTTTTTAATTTTCTCCTCCCATTTGTGGGTGTGTTTCGTTTGGGGTGTTTTGGTTTGGTTTTTAATGTCACTAGTTCTTTTTTCCTACATCTCATAACGTGGGGACATTCAAGTAAAATAAAACATGCCAAATTCAAAACATAGAATGGCTTGGGTTGGAGAGGACATTAATATCATCTAGTTCCAACCCCCAAACTGTTTTCATACAGCAGGGAATTAGACTGTCAAGTTCATTGCCCTAAATGATCATTCAGGCCAAAGAATTTGCCAGGTTGCCACATGAAGTGCACATTTTTGTGGCACCAGGTGTTTCCAGAGATAATGCTGAATGAAATAATGCTTCATGAGAAGCATTGGTGAGGATACAACACTGGAGCTGAAGGTAACTTCTGACACTTTGGAACCTGGCATAGGGACAGCCTTCCCTGTCTGCTCAGTGCTCAGCAAGCTTTCTGTCTTCCTTTGAAGCAGCAGCTTCTTCTCCAGTTCAAGAGAGCACACTGGTTATGTAGTCTCAGTCCAGGATAATCCTGCCTCTGCCTTCCTTCATTGGTGAGGTAAAGCTTTTTATGGGGTTTGCTGCCCTTAATCTTTGAAAAAGGCATCTTTGTTCCAGCTCATCAGTCACTGGCATGCAAGTGATGGCAGTAAGAGTCAGCCAATAGCACTATTTGAAAGAAAACATTATTCCCTTGCTAGTGTTCAATTCTTGTCTCCCAAGACAGACCTACTGCAGGACCTTTCAGGCTAAAAAACAGATGAGTGAATTTCTTTCATCAAAGAACCCAGCAGAATTCTATTTTAACCTTTCCAGGGTCTTCTTGCTTGTCCTGCAGAGCAAGCAGAAGACACAAGCTCAGATGTTTCTCCCTTGCAGGGAAGTGAGTCAAGCTAGAGGAAAAAACCCAGGAACAGGTCTAGATCCCCCCCATTAAACTTATTGTGCACGTGCTCATCTCAACCAGCTTCCTACATCCTTGACCATCCTGGAAGGCTCAGGTGACTTTACAGAAGGGAAGGTTATGAAGTCCAGGTGCTCCCACTTGTTTCCTTAGGAGTGAAGAAGGCTGAGAGCCTCCAGGGATGCATTTCACTGCCTCAAAGGAATATGTGTCTAGTTTGCAGTCTTAAAGTCCTGCTCTTTTTCCCTCCTTACCCTTAAAAAGAGGGCTCCCAAGCTTCTTTGAGAAAGTGGTCAGCACTAACAAACTTGTTCCACTCCCTACTGCAGTATTACCAGGCTGTGCAGGGCAAAGCCTGCTGCTGAGTTTTCCTTTCCTGATGTTCTGCTGCTGCTCCTTTTCATCTAGAAAATGGCCATCCTAAATGCTGGGCTCCCTCCCTGGGCCTTGCTGAGCTGAGTGAGAGTGTCCAGGTCTGCCTCGGTGGGCACTTGGTGAGAGGAGAGGGAGGAACACTCAGATAGTGTGTTTTTTTAAGATCCTTTTCAGTAGATGGACTATCATCCTTGCCTGCCTGGAAGGGAAGAAGAAATAGCCAAGAAAATGGTCAGTGGCTCCTCTCAGTTCCTGCACTTCTTGCTTCTGGGTGATGCTTTGGGATACTCAGCATCCTTGGGCTCCATCACCAAATTTCTTAAGCATCCCTGCAATGAAGCAGCACCCATTTCCCTTTGTTGTGTCCAAAGTCCCAGCTGAAAACTGATGGAAGCCAGAGCACCCCCAGCTTCTTCTATATGAAACCAAAGCCCCAGCTCTTCCCCAGGCACAAAGTCTTCCCAGGACCTGCAGCCCCACCAGGATGGACACCCGGGCCGGGCTGCTGCCCCTCCCCCTCCCTGCAGAGCCTCTGCCCTCCCCTTGGTAACATTCAGATCCTTTTGAAATGTGAATATGAGTCTGTTTTGTTGACGTCGGTTTTTGTTTCGGTTTGGTTTCCTTTTTGCTGAGTCTGTCCTGGCTCTCGTGCCTTGGGAAGAAATCATGACCCCCCAAACAAAAGGAAGAATACGTTTTATATATATATATATGTATGCAAAAAAGTGTGTATTTATGTCCGATAGAAACGAAGAGATGTGTGAATACGGTGATGTGCTCAGAAATGTATTTATTTCATAATATATTTATCCACGTACCTGGTCTGCTCGCCTGGTTTTGTTCGTTGCACCGACCGGAGGGGGCGGGGCGGGGCGGGGCGGGGCCCGCCCCCCAAGGCACCAACCCCGCCC